AGGCTGTGGAGCAAAACAGTCCTCAGGATGCAAATCACTGAAAAGGGGCTCAAGAGCAATAGTTGTTGGGAGTGCAGGCTGTGGTGCATAAATAGTGCCATTATAGGCATATAGACACAGTAAGCTGGGACGTTTTGGTCCTGTAGCATAATCAGTTTTTAAGGTGCAGGCTGGGACACAAACACTTATTGCCAAGGCCTGCACACAGAGAGAATGACCACAAGCAGTGCATGGAGCAACAGGTTTGGATGCATGAAATGTCTGAATAAGCTGGCTTTGGCTCACAGTGAGCAAAATTTGAGTCCGTTAAAAGGTATCAGGTCAGCAATGGCTCACAAGGAGATGGTTGAGAATGAGCGTAACAAACTGGTGACAAAGAAGGCTTATCCTCAAACCTAAGAGTCTTTCATACACAAGAACATTTTGGTAACACACATTGTTCACAAGCATGTCGACTAGACTCACACTGAGGTGTCTAAGCCTTCAAAAACAGTCTTTAAGTTCAGCGAACCAGACACACAGTTCATTTCTTTATTATAATACCGGCCAGCAACACAAAACGTAACCTGATCAGCCGTCTCAGAAACACTTAAAGTCTCTTAGCCAGCTCACAGAGAGCTTACAAGCAGAGACTACTGTCTTCATGTCTTTAACATCGGAACAGAAAACACAGTCTTATTACCAGCCAACTCAGGAACAGTGAACACAGTCTTAATTTTACTCGTGGAGCCTCGTCTCCTCTGGCATGAGGAAGTGGGTGGGTTTGAAGCTCTAATGCCTCCAACGTGCCTGGCAGAAGTATAATTCGCATGTCCCTGCTGGAAACCAGCTTCTCTGTGTGACATCAGTGCTGTGCAGTTTGCAACAGCAATTCGTGGATGAGGACCGCCCTGACCTTGGTTTTTGAGTGCAGGCGAATGATAGTGAAGAGTTTCCCATGTAGACACAACATTTCATTCATAATCACCTTTCAAGAAACTCAGGGACACCTTACAAGCAAATAAACAAAAATCATAGCATAGATAAAATAACAGTGGCAAGACGCCATAGAATTAACATCATAAACTAAAATCAAACAGAAAAGATGTGTTTTAAGAACGGCTTTAAAGATAGGGAAAGTATGGGCAGAAGTGACACTGTGCAAAAAAACAGAGCCATGGAGGTGCGAGATTATGAAGAGGCTTGAAAGTAAGAAGCAGAATTTTAAAATGAATGCGATGTTTTAAAGGAAGCCAGTGAGGCTGTTGAAGGACAGGAGTACTAGAAGGGTTTCTGTTAATGACACAAGCGACTGCATTTTAGACCAAGTCTGTGAAGAAATCTGCATACAAAGACAGAGGGGATAGAATGACAGTAATAAACACGGGTTATAACCAGAGCATGTACAAGAAGAGCAGTACTGTTAGCTGTAAGGGACGGGCACAGCCAACTATTACGTAAGTGGAAATGTGCAGACAGTAATAATATTGATGTGCTCCAAAATTTAAGGAGCTTAAAAAACAACACCTAAATTATTAACCTGGAAGGAAGACGTTTGAAAATTGTCAGTGCACAGCGAGAATCTTTCACTTTTGTCTAAAACGATTTTAGTTTCTACCAGAAGAACCTCTGTTTTGTCCGTGTTTATTAATTTAAGAAGTTTAGCAGACAACCATGATTTAATCTCGCGTAGGCAGTAAGTGAGAGAAGGTGGTGGGAGAGCCTAATTAGGCTTAGTGGACAGACAGAGCTGGGTATTACTAGCATAAGAGTGATAATATATGCCAAATTTCCTAAATATGTCATCAAAGGGTAAAAGATAAATAATAAATAGAAGGGGACCTAAAGGCCTTTTCACAAAGGACGGTGCATGTGCTGCACTGACCGCAGAGCAAAGGAACTTGTAGGCTGCACCCTGCCTACACGTCATTTGTGTGTTCGCTCTAAGTCCACTAGATACACAGGGTCCTTCTATCTTTCTGACTTTGTATCCTCTACAATAGTTTGTGTTGTATTATGTTTAATAAATTAAAACAAACATGTATTGCTTATTCATGAAGAAGAAAGCTTTGTAACTGTCCCAACTACTGAAATGAAATGGGCTTCAGAGCACAGCGCTGCAGGTGCCAGAGCCAGCTGTTAGTAGATATTACTGATCTTACTATTAAAAAAGGTCATACAAATATTACACTGCCCAGTCCAGTGAAGCCGGGGTGGAAAACTGTCAAGTGACTGAAGAATGCAGTTTAAAGTAGACCGATGGGTCTGACCCTTTCCTTCACCAGACCTGATTAGAACAGCATAATATTCAGATTTGGCTGCAGAGAGAGCATCCTTATACTGTCACATCTGTTAGTGACACATCCTCAGACTAGTCTTTGTGCAAAGGTGTTCCAAGCAGTGGCGGTCCTAGCCTGTTTGGCGCCCTGGGCGAGCACTCCCTCTGACGCCCGAGTTATGTTGTGATATGAAACAGAGGGAAAATAATTTGACTTAGATAATATTAAATTGACATCAAAAGATACCAGCTTGAGATCAGATATGGAGAGGTTGAAGGAGTAACACCAGAACAACAGATAATATCAAGAATATGGCTCTTGGAGTAAGTTGGCAAAATGAATCAACTGCTGTAGACCAAAGCTATGATGTAATATAATATTGGATATATTTATATTTTTGTGATATATTTATCATATTACACTATATTTAGTGTGATATGATAAATCTACCCTACCGCCTACTGGTGTTGGCCAGAGGGGCCGATGGCGCGATATGGCAGCCTGGCTTCTGTCAGTCTGCCCCAGGGCAGCTGTGGCTACAACTGTAGCTGCTTCCACCAGTGTGTGAATGTGAGAGTGACTGAATAGTGGCATTGTACAGCGCTTTGGGTGCCTTGAAAAGCGCTATATAAATCCACTCCATTATTATTGTTATTATTAAATTACTTACGAGTTTAATTTGTCAGCAACTTTCTGCCAGCCCTCTCTCCTTGCTTTTGCAGCCTTTGCAGTGTTCCCTTGCGTTCTGATTAAACTCTGAAACTCCTGAAATCCCTCACTCAAGAGTTCTTGCTCTGCTGCCGACAAATACCGAGCGCGCTCCTTCAACATTTTCGCCGACCAATCAGAGGGTTGCCGATCAATGTTTCTACTATCGATGCGTAGCCCCTTTTACGACACCCAGTGATTACTTCATCTAGCTGTACTAATCGTCAACAGCAGGTGTGTTCGGAGAACCAGATTAGCGAGTTCACGGTTAGCGCGATGATTTGGTCTTGGATGTGTCATTTGATCTTGGATGTAGTAAGCGACGTACGAAGAACGGGCCCCAGGAAGCAGAGTTATAATAATAATGGATTGGATTTTTAATGGATTGGATTTTTATAGCGCTTTTCAAGGCACCCAAAGCGCTTTACAATGCCACTATTCATTCACTCTCACATTCACACACTGGTGGAGGCAGCTACAGTTGTAGCCACAGCTGCCCTGGGGCAGTCTGACAGAAGCGAGCTTTGGCTTTTGTGTTGTTAACATGTTTAATGTTATGTATTTTCTTCTATTTGATCTCAAAAAGCTCCTAAAACAGTCAGTGATCCCTGTTGACCTCCCTCGGCTTTTATTACCGCTAATCATTTATTTAAGCTCAGCTTTTAAAACCTTAGGATGTAGCTACAGCCCAGCCCATGCAGCAGTATATGAATGACTAACCTCGTATTGTGGATGGATTATCTCAGTTGTTCTCCTGGCTGAAGTTTGGTCCTTTTACAGCATCCTGCCATGCGATTACATTTGTTCCTGACCACCGAGAACACTCACGTTAACTTTTATCGAGTGGAAAAAAAGTTAGCTTGTTTATATTATGCTAACGTAGCTGTGTCGCTAGCGGTCACGTAGCACATCATTATATAGCAGCTAGCCCAACTTCAGTAACCCTACAAACATCACTGCTGTTTAGTTTTCTGTCTTCATTTATGCTGGAAGTGATAACAGAGCTGTACGTTTTAATTTGTTTCCAAAACCCGCAGTCAGGACATGCTATATTGTATTTAGATAGAAGCTAGCGAGCTAACTCCCTGCTAACTTCTAACTCTGTTAAATGTCATAAATTCCGTTTTCATGGATGCCTGGATGTTAAACTCAATTGTTACACCTGGTAGAGCAGAACGCTGATCATTTTATTAAAGATGAAAGACTTTAGACAGTTTTTCAACTCTCAGTAATGCCATAGTGATCGTTTGATATATGGACCTGCAGCGGAGTTTAGACCCAGACACGGCTAGTGACGTCAGACTGAACAATCGGATAATCATCACCCCTCAACTTTCTCTCTCTTTCTCATCTAAATGAAGTTTCTGCTGGACTAATTCAAGCCTTGAAACAAAGGAGATTAAATATCCATTGCAGACAATAGTGAACAGTGCAGGTAAAAGAAGCAGAAAGTGTGATCAATGTGTGAATTCAGTTTACTTAAAAATAGATTTATGTTTTTTTCTTGATGCAGTTTATGTTAGAGTGGTACAAAAGATGCACTTCTGCATCTTAACCACAGACTGTATGTAAACGATCGATGCAGCCACCCTGACATCACCCATAGGTTTGTGGATTACAGCATTGGCACCTTAAGTTTGGCTCCCACAATTATATGTGATATTAAATGGAATTCCCATGTTTGAAGAGCAAAAAAACAGGTTTGAAGACATTGCTGAAAAATCTGAAGGGTTTATTTTGAGTTTTGAGTCAGCGCTGCAACATAACTGAGCACGGCACATTAAAAATGCATACTTTATACGTATTTACATATATTTATGTATACGTATATATATATTTATCTGTACAGTGAACTTGAGATGACCACCAACACTGGCATACACATTCACAGTGTGTATCAGTGTCAATATTTACCAATAAACTTAAACAATGAGTTTTAATCAAAGAATCATGTGAGGCAGAGATATTTGTAAGGAGAAAGGATTTCTTCATGTTTTGAGGAAGTGCTGAAGACTGAAGTGACACAACTTCAACTTTATGAATGACACTGATTGATTTTATTATTTTGATATGATGTTGCATTTATTAATGATGGCTGCTGCTCCTGTCTCTTCCATCAGGTGAAGAATGCTGCTCATGCTCGTCCGGCAGGTCCTGCTACTCCTGTCGCATCTCCAGCCGCTCCTGCTCCTCCTTCAGTTCCTGTTGCTCCTGCAGGGACAGGAAAAACGCGTGGGAGCAGCGCCCTCTCGCTAATGTGCGAAAGGGCGCTGCTCCCACATAAAATCTGGGCGCACAAGATTACCCGCTCTGAGCCCTTCCTGCAAGAGTGCGCAACGCCCACGCCACCACACAATCCAGTCCACCTCTCAAACACGCACCAGATTACACCACTCGGAGCTCCTCCTGCACGCACACGAGAGTTGGCCACACCCAGCCACCACTCAATCTAGGGCATCTCTCGCACGTGCACTGAGGAAAGGTCCATAACCTGGTCGGGAGGGGGTATTCAGGAGGTTCAACGCTGGAACATTGAACACTCCAACCTCCTCCTGCACGCACACAAGAGTTGGCCACACCCAGCCACCACTCAATCCGTGCCACCTCTCGCATGCGCACCAGATTACACCACTCCGAGCTCCTCCTGCACGTGTGCGAGAGGGGGCCACACCCAGCCACCACTCAATCCGGGCCACCTCTCACACGTGCACTTAGGAAAGGTCCATAACCTGGTCCGGGAGGAGGGATTCAGGAGGTTCAACGTTCTACAGATGAACCTCACACTCTGAGCTACTCCTGCACACCTCTTGCACATGCACAAGATTACGCCACTCGGAGCTCGTCCTGCAAGATGGCGCCACAACCAGCCACCACTCAATCTGGGCCACCTCTCACAAACCCACTGAGGAACGATCCATAACCTGGTCCGGAAGTGGGGGGGAGGAGGCTCAACGTTCCAGCGTTGAACCTCACACTCCTGCACGTGCGCAAGAGAGTGTCACACTGGACAAACTCTTGCACTCGCAACAAGATTACACCCTTCCAAGCCCCTCCTACACGCGCACGAGAGGGGGCCACACCCAGCCACCACTCAATCCGGGCCACCTCTTGCACGCGCACCAGATTATGTCACTCTGAGCTACTCCTGCACAAGATTACCCACTCTGTGCCCTTCCTGCAAGAGTGCGCAACGCCCACGCCACCACGCAATCCAGTCCACCTCTCAAACACGCACCAGATTACACCACTCGGAGCTCCTCCTGCACGCACACGAGAGTTGGCCACACCCAGCCACCACTCACTCTGGGGCATCTCTCGCACGCGCACTGAGGAAAGGTCCATAACCTGGTCGGGAGGGGGTATTCAGGAGGTTCAACGCTGGAACATTGAACACTCCAACCTCCTCCTGCACGCACACAAGAGTTGGCCACACCCAGCCACCACTCAATCCGTGCCACCTCTCGCATGCGCACCAGATTATACCACTCCGAGCTCCTCCTGCACGTGTGCGAGAGGGGGCCACACCCAGCCACCACTCAATCCGGGCCACCTCTCACACGTGCACTTAGGAAAGGTCCATAACCTGGTCCGGGAGGAGGGATTCAGGAGGTTCAACGTTCTACAGATGAACCTCACACTCTGAGCTACTCCTACACACCTCTTGCACATGCACAAGATTACGCCACAACCAGCCACCACTCAATCTGGGCCACCTCTCACAAACCCACTGAGGAACGATCCATAACCTGGTCCGGAAGTGGGGGGGAGGAGGCTCAACGTTCCAGCGTTGAACCTCACACTCCTGCACGTGCGCAAGAGAGTGTCACACTAGACAAACTCTTGCACTCGCAACAAGATTACACCCTTCCAAGCCCCTCCTACACGCGCACGAGAGGGGGCCACACCCAGCCACCACTCAATCCGGGCCACCTCTCGCACGCGCACCAGATTATGTCACTCTGAGCTACTCCTGCACAAGATTACCCACTCTGAGCCCTTCCTGCAAGAGTGCGCAACGCCCACGCCACCACACAATCCAGTCCACCTCTCAAACACGCACCAGATTACACCACTCGGAGCTCCTCCTGCACGCACACGAGAGTTGGCCACACCCAGCCACCACTCAATCCGGGCCACCTCTCGCACGCGCACTGAGGAAAGGTCCATAACCTGGTCGGGAGGGGGTATTCAGGAGGTTCAACGCTGGAACATTGAACACTCCAACCTCCTCCTGCACGCACACAAGAGTTGGCCACACCCAGCCACCACTCAATCCGTGCCACCTCTCGCATGCGCACCAGATTACACCACTCCGAGCTCCTCCTGCACGTGTGCGAGAGGGGCCACACCCAGCCACCACTCAATCCGGGCCACCTCTCACACGTGCACTTAGGAAAGGTCCATAACCTGGTCCGGGAGGAGGGATTCAGGAGGTTCAACGTTCTACAGATGAACCTCACACTCTGAGCTACTCCTACACACCTCTTGCACATGCACAAGATTACGCCACAACCAGCCACCACTCAATCTGGGCCACCTCTCACAAACCCACTGAGGAACGATCCATAACCTGGTCCGGAAGTGGGGGGAGGAGGCTCAACGTTCCAGCGTTGAACCTCACACTCCTGCACGTGCGCAAGAGAGTGTCACACTGGACAAACTCTTGCACTCGCAACAAGATTACACCCTTCCAAGCCCCTCCTACACGCGCACGAGAGTTGGCCACACCCAGCCACCACTCAATCCGGGCCACCTCTCGCACGCGCACCAGATTATGTCACTCCGAGCTACTCTTGCACGCGCACAGGATCACACCACACCCACGCCACAAAAACACTCCGGTCCCCTCCACACTGAGTTTAGAAAAGTTCAACATTAACGTGGACACTGCATGTCCCCTTAACATTTCCACTTTAGCAAATGTCACCTGCTGAGCGGTCCTTACTGCACTCTTCAAAAGGTTTCAATCTATTAATAATATGACAACATTCATTTGAACAAAACACATTCTAATTAAAATAATCGACCTGATTTACGGCACAAATCTCACTTTTTTTTTTAGGAAAGAGAAGCACACACACACACACACACACACACAGTTTCTGTAGCCAAACAAAAGATAACAGATCCTAAGATACAAACATTTTCATTCCTCTTAGATTTTAGCAGTTACTCAGAGTCTAGCGGTAGGCAGGAAAATGAACACAAACATGATTTGTCTAAGAACAGGCTGTAAGATAGTACTTGCTTGGTTATATCACACTAAAGAAATTACAAAATGTGAGCACCCATGTACATGCATGCAGCGAATATCAAATTCTACTCTTTAAAGCTTTTATGCAGCAAGAAGGTACCTTTGAACAGCGGTCTCCAACCTTTTTTGCACCACGGACCGGTTTATGCCCGACAATATTTTCACGGACCAGTGTCTCAGATAAATACAACAAAATAAAACTAGTATCAGTATCGAAAAAAAGAAGATTTATTCATAACACATGTGAAAAGACCCAGGAAAACCGAGTTAACAATAAAAACGATAACAAAATAACGCTTAAAACCGATAAAACCCCTGAAAACCAGACATTTCACACCTGAGCCTCAACTCTCGCGGCCCGGTACCAAACGACTCACGGACCGCTACCGGTCCGAGGCCCGGGGGTTGGGGACCCCTGCCTTAGAACAGCCAGTCCGTGAAAATATTGTCGGGCATAAACCGGTCCGTGGCGCAAAAAAGGTTGGGGACCGCTGCCTTATGCTGGGCTTACACTGTGCGATTTTTGGCCCATTTTGAGCCGATTTTTGAGTCGTGCGACCGTTTTGGCGATCGGCCCGATTTTGGCCTTCATCGTGCGTCATGCATCGTATAGTATACGTGGGGTAACGAGACGCGATTAACCCCTCACGACCAGCTCCCGATCATCAATCGCTTGGTCGTGAGCGACCCTCGCGACCGTCGTGAGGGTGTCACCGCAGTTTGTCACACTGCGCACGCGCAAACACAAATGTCAGCGAAAAAGACGGAGCAGCACAGCAGTGCAGCGTGTGATCTGGACACAAGCGATGGAGGAACAACTTGTAGAACTTTGGAAAGCTCATCCGAGCCTTTTCGATGTGGCCTCACAAAATGATCACGACCACAACAACCGTGAAAATAGTTGGATCTACACTGCTGCTCAATCACAGCTGATCAATGTTTTTCATTAGCAATTTAGCAAAGTTGATGGTGGTGGTGTGTCTGTGTGAGTGAAAGACAGAGAGAGCGAGCGACAGAATTTCTGTTATAACCTTCATTTTATGGAGGCACAGTGTGAGCACTCAGGTCGCATCAGAGCATCGGGCGGTATAGTGTGAGACCCTGCATCGTGACCTATGACCCCTGCGAGTCAACCGTACAGTTTGAGCAGGAGCTGAAAAAATCGCACAGTGTCTGCCCAGCATTAGAAGACCAACACATGTACAGGTCCCTCCACACTGTGTTTAGAAAAGTTTAACATAAACGTGGACACTGCATGTCCCCTTAATAATTCCACTTTAGCAAATGTCACTTGTCGAGCGGTCCTTACCTTAAAAAATAATCTCTTTTTCTTTCCTCTCCTCTCTTTTTCTCCTCTGTAATCCAAAGTGCATGTACCAGCTCTGCCAGCATTTTTCAAAATGTGTTTTTTCCATAAATGCTATGACAACATTCATTTGAACAGAACGCATCTGACGCATTTGCTAAGCTCCACCCCCGGCTACTGTTGAGCAGTACCTGGTTACCTGGTTTCTATATTTCTCCATGTAGCACAGTGTCTTGTTAATTTATTAGGTTGAGTCGTTTAAAAGAACATGTCACAAACTTGTATTGATTCACAAATACACCACCTAATCATATGTGATAAGTTGGGACTAAATTTAAGTTGTGTAATGGTCAAGCAACTTGATAGCACAGTGTAATTGTGCGAAATTAATCAAAGCACCCCCAAAGATTTCTTACTTTTTTGAGAATATTTGCTGTTTGTGTGACACACTACTAAAAATATAAAAAGCATACAGTACTGTACTTGTTTGAGGCGTAATATTTTAACAACAAAAGTATAGATAACCCCCCTCCCAAAATGGTTTGTTCCAGCTCTCCCCTACTCTGACTCTAGCGCTCTGGCTGCCAGAGCGATGGTGGCTGAGACGCAGCGGTGCAGAGGTGTAAGTGCCTGGCTTAAAACAGGGCATGTTAGCTGCATTTAACCTTCAGTTACTCTTTCTACAGTTAGGTAGGAGTCAGACCATGTTTCTTTTTAGCTGAAAAGCATTACACCAGGTAACCTGCAGTGTTGAAAACGTGTTTTCCGACGATGTTTGCTGCCCTACAATCCGTCCTACTCTGTAGTAAATTCAGCGACATTTGACCCGTCCTGTTGCTCCCATTGAAATGTATACAGCCTATTTAAAATCTAAAACTTTAGATTGTCCGCAGCCTGCTGTTGTTACCACTGTCCTGTTTGAAATGGATGCTAACTGACTGAATGCCCATTAACCTTATAACTGTTGTGTGCGTGTGTGTTTGTGTACAGAGAGACAGCCAGGTTCATAATGGATATAAGGACGTTTTTTCAAAAAAAGGAGCCACATCAGGTAAAAGTGTAAGATCAAATGATCCGTCAATCAAGAATAATGTTGGATCAGTGTATCAATGTTTATATCTTTTATTAGATGTTCATGTGGTTTGGTTATTTGCCTTTTGGTTGAAAGTACACTGAGAGGACTTTTTGTTAGTGATCTTAACAGAATTTTTTTCATATTAATGTAATTTTTCATCTCATTGCATACAATCTATTTGTGTATGATTGTCAGTGCAAAGGGAGCGAGGAAAGAGGGAACGTGAGGAGAAAGTACAAGGTCAGGAAGAAGCAGGTAAGAAAACAGACAGGGAGCAGTGACGGGCACAACAGAAACTGTTAAACTGACAAAGAGAAATACATACATGCAAATGCATACATATATGTCCAACCAGAGCATGTTGGTTGATGTTTAAGTGATTGCCTTCTTGTCTTTGGTGTGTAGTGGTACATTTCTCATGACATGCCATCTCTTTCTCATGTATTCACGTCATCCTCTTAAACTAAAGATTTAAGTAAAATTCATATACAGACAATGTGTGAAAAAACAGTTTATTTTTTGATATATATTGGTTATGCATTGATCAAAAAAATAGTTGATGTGTAATGTTATCACAGGTACCTGCAGCCCAAATGAGAACATCATTATACACATAATTTAATCACATCTCCCTGTCCTCCACTCTCCCCACCTTCACCCAGTATGTTACCTGCTACACCAGAGACAATAAAACATTGGACTTATTGTATGCCAACACCAAGGAGGCATACAGCTCATCACCTCTCCCTCCCCACAGGGAACTGTGCTGGCACCGTTCCTCTTCACCCTCTACACTGCAGACTTCTCCATCAACTCCCCACGCTGCCACCTACAGAAGTTCTCTGACGACTCTGCCATAGTCGCCTCATCACAGGTGAGGACGACTCCGAGTACAGACGGTGGACTCTGGACTTTGTAGACTGGTGTCAGCAGAACCACCTGCTGATAAACGCCGGGAAAACCAAGGAGTTGGTGGTGGACTTCCGGAGACGCAGACCCACCACACTGACAGCGGTGAACATCCAGGGAGTGGACATTGAGATAGTGGACTCTTATAGGTACCTGGGTGTTCACCTGAATAATAAACTGGACTGGAGCCACAACACTGATGCTCTTTACAGGAAGGGTCAGAGCAGACTCCACCTGCTGAGGCGGCTGAGGTCATTTGGAGTCCAGGGAGCGCTTTTAAAGACCTTCTATGACTCTGTGGTGGCATCTGTCATTTTTTACAGTGTGGTATGTTGGAGCAGCAGTTTATCAGCAGCTGAGACGAAGAGGTTGGATAAACTCATCAGGAAGGCCAGCTCTGTTCTGGGATGCACCCTGGACCCAGTGCAGGTGGTGGGAGACAGAAGGACTGTGGCCAAAATAACATCTCTGATGGACAGAGTCTCCCACCCCATGCATGTAAATGCTGCTGAACTGCAGAGCTGCTTCAGTGACAGACTGCTGCATCCTCGATGCATGAAGGAGCGTTTCTGCAGGTCCTTCCTCCCTGCAGCTGTCAGACTGCACAATCAGAACTGCTCCCAGCAAACATACAGTGGGGCAAAAAAGTATTTAGTCAGCCACCGATTGTGCAAGTTCCCCCACTTAAAATGATGACAGAGGTCAGTAATTTGCACCAGAGGTACACTTCAACTGTGAGAGACAGAATGTGAAAAAAAAATCCATGAATCCACATGGTAGGATTTGTAAAGAATTTATTTGTAAATCAGGGTGGAAAATAAGTATTTGGTCACCTCAAACAAGGAAAATCTCTGGCTCTCACAGACCTGTAACGTCTTCTGTAAGAAGCTTTTCTGTCCCCCACTCGTTACCTGTATGAATGGCACCTGTTTGAACTCATCATCTGTATAAAAGACACCTGTCCACAGCCTCAAACAGTCAGACTCCAAACTCCGCCATGGCCAAGACCAAAGAGCTTTCGAAGGACACCAGGAAAAGTATTGTAGACCTGCACCAGACTGGGAAGAGTGAATCTACAATAGGCAAGCAGCTTGGTGTGAAAAATCAACTGTGGGAGCAATCATCAGAAAATGGAAGACATACAACACCACTGATAATCTCCCTCCATCTGGGGCTCCACGCAAGATCTCATCCCGTGGGGTCAAAATGATCATGAGAACGGTGAGCAAAGATCCCAGAACCACACGGGGGGACCTGGTGAATGACCTGCAGAGAGCTGGGACCAAAGTAACAAAGGTCACCATCAGTAACACACTACAACGGCAGGGAATCAAATCCCGCAGTGCCAGACGTGTTCCGCTGCTGAAGCCAGTGCATGTCCAGGCCCGTCTGAAGTTTGCCAGAGAGCACATGGATGATACAGCAGAGGATTGGGAGAATGTCATGTGGTCAGATGAAACCAAAGTAGAACTTTTTGGTATAAACTCAACTCGTCGTGTTTGGAGGAAGAAGAATACTGAGTTGCATCCCAAGAACACCATACCTACTGTGAAGCATGGGGGTGGAAACATCATGCTATGGGGCTGTTTTTCTGCCAAGGGGACAGGACGACTGATCCGTGTTAAGGACAGAATGAATGGGGCCATGTATCGTGAGATTTTGAGCCAAAACCTCCTTCCATCAGTGAGAACTTTGAAGATGAAACGAGGCTGGGTCTTCCAACATGACAATGATCCAAAACACACCGCCCGGGCAACAAAGGAGTGGCTCCGTAAGAAGCATTTGAAAGTCCTGGAGTGGCCTAGCCAGTCTCCAGACCTCAACCCCATAGAAAATCTGTGGCGGGAGTTGAAAGTCCGTGTTGCTCGGCGACAGCCCCAAAACATCACTGCTCTCGAGAAGATCTGCATGGAGGAATGGGCCAAAATACCAGCTACTGTGTGTGCAAACCTGGTAAAGACCTATAGTAAACGTTTGACCTCTGTTATTGCCAACAAAGGTTATGTTACAAAGTATTGAGTTGTATTTTTGTTATTGACCAAATACTTATTTTCCACCCTGATTTACCAATAAATTCTTTACAAATCCTACCATGTGGATTCATGGATTTATTTTTCACATTCTGTCTCTCACAGTTGAAGTGTACCTCTGGTGCAAATTACTGACCTCTGTCATCATTTTAGGTGGGGGAACTTGCACAATCGGTGGCTGACTAAATACTTTTTTGCCCCACTGTACATGTTTACGTCTGCGCTGTAACTGCAATAATTTAATCACTACAACCTGAGTTTGCCTCTTATCTGTAGTTAATTTAATTTAATAACTGTACAGTACTCTGTTTATAGTAACCATTCTCCTTGATGTAAATATGTAAGAAAAATTGTGTATGTTTCTGTTCTGTGTCCTGGTTGTTTGTATTTGTGTCTTTCTGGCTGCTGTTACAACCAAATTTCCCCTTGTGGGACAATTAAAGGATTATTCTATTCTATTCTATTCTATTCCTACTACCAGCAAGCACACATCTTCTAACTGTGTACAGCAGTATCCAATATGTCTATATCCATATAGACGACTGGATACAGCTATAACTGAGAGCTGCATTATTGTTCACAGGACACTTGCTGACTAAACTCCCCAAATCTGAGGTTCCTCTGTGATCTGGGTCGTGGCTGTTGGTGCACCATTAGAGACTACTACTGCCATAACCAGTACTGACCTTAAGCGTTTGGGGGACTGTTTAAAGAGGTAATATGCACCCCACCCCAATAAAAAAGGGAAAGGATTCAAGCTGGTAACAGCTTTAAGCATAACAAACAAATGACACCAACTGCCTTGACTAAAACAATGCTGTTTTTGGAATAGAATGAGGGGACGCCTCGTCATTTTCCTACTTTTGTGTTCTGGTGGTTTGTCCGTGTTTTGAAATTTAAAGTAAGTGAAAGAGTCATTGCCTATAAACTTCAGCACCATGGACAGTTCACTGACTACCCGAAAGAAGAATGGGACATGTCAAAATGCTGAGGGAAAGAAATTAGGCAGGTTACACATGCTGAGTAAAATAAATATTTTACTAATAACTTAAACTTAATATTATCATTACTGCACCC